CCCCCCCCCCCCCTGGATTTGCTACCGGTCGTGGGTTCAGTATTTAGATGACAGACATTTTCCCTTGTGCTTGAAGTCTATTTTCACCCGCACAGCAGTAATTCAGTGTTTTTACCGCTTCTCAGATCTCGCAGTTGTTCAAGCTCGGCTCTCACAACTACGAGGACATGAAGCAATTCAGTGTGTGCATAGAAGAAGCGTTGTTCAAGCTACCAGCGCACAGGGACCGAGCGCTGAACTACAAGATGGAAGAGGTTCAGATTACAGCCGTCGATGAGATTTACGTCGAACAAACCGAGTTCGGAATCGTCGAAAAACAAATCGCAAGAGTTCGACTTTTCTTCCTCGGATTTTTGTCTGGTGAGTGTCTGTAGCGCAATGAAACTTCGAATGTAACATCAATTCATTTCCAGTGGCGCGGCGTGCTTTGCGATAAATCGATTGATCGACCATTCAAACCTATGGAAAATAATTGACAAACAGGGAGTTCGCAGCGAACACTTCAATGACCGATTCTTTACTATAGCTTCGAATGGGGAGATGTCGATAGTCGATTATTCACTCCTCGCGACTGTTCATTTTGGAGAAAAAAGATTTCTTTAAAAAAAGTCGATTTTTTATTAGATTTTCCTCGGCAGATTTCAGAATAAACCCTAACAACCAAGTGACCCCATCTTCTAAAACTAATAATTTGACTAACTTTTGCAATTAGGAACTCCAATTTCTAGCCCATCCGTAAAAAAACTCATGTGCATAGGAAAACTAATAACACATACGTCGTTTTTAAACTGAGCCAGAAATTGAAGTACCAAATAAAGAAATTTAGTCCAACTCGCCTAACTTCTTAGAAATATTGGGAATCAACAGCTCCTTTTCCATGAGGTGGAACATTTGATACTTGTAAAAATAAAAAGCAATGGAAGCGAAGGGGATCCTTTTAAACTTTTCACATAATTTTAAAATTTGTAGTTTGAGACGACGACATTTTCTGACTTTTCAAGAACTTGTCACCGTGTTCTTGCTCCGCAGAATTTTCATTTTTTCAATTTTTTTCGCCCTGTAGGTATGCCGGACGTGGAATTGGGTGTGAACGACATGGTGCGGCAGGGGAAGGAGGTGGTCGGTAGACATGACATCATTCCGGTCGTCACTGAGGAGTGGATTCGTCTGGAAGCTGTCGAATTCCACAACTGCGTTCAACTGGACAATTACGAAACGAATAAAACAATAAGGTATTTGGGAGAGATTTTCACACAAAAAAATGGATCAGGTCTATGCTAGCCGCAAAATAATTTTGGTGCTTAAATCCAAAAATCTACTAATAAGAGTACAATTTGTCCGGACGTCAGCACCGAGTCCTTTTGACCAGTTTTTTATCGAAACATTGTCCTTTAAGAAACAAAATGATCGATATTTACGGCGATAGTCAAACTAGAAAGTGATTCTGTGACATGGACAACCAAGCTCAATGAGCTGCGTTCTCCGTATCATTAAGGGTGACGTTTCTGAAATATGGAGGAGGAAGAGACGCTCAAACGATCGATCCCTCCTAAAATTTATCGAGAAATTGGTTTTAAATTTTAGATTGATCTAAAAGCAAGTCGCATGCACAGTGATATACACCGTCATTGAGATTGTCCAGAATTTCATTTTTTCTTTTTGCCAGCACGCAAAAAAAAATTAAATGCTTTTGCCCGAATATTTTCATAGTTTTTCTTAAATTATGTATAATTAGGCCAAAAAAATCGCACAATTTTAAGTTTAGGGATAAATGTCTTGGCTTTTAACTTGGGACTTGTTTCCCGATTTCAGTATTATGATCTGCGAACCAATCGACTAAAAATTATAAAAATATAAATTTTTAAATTTCTAAATGAATACTCACGTCTCATGTTACTGTCCTAACAGATTCAAACCACCAGATGCCTGTTATATTGAACTAATGAGGTTTCGAGTTAGACCACCTAGGAATCGTGAGCTACCTTTGCAGCTGAAGACAACTATGTGCATCACCGGAAACAAGGTTTTATTTCGTTTTCCTTATTAATGATAGGTTTATGAGAATATTTTTAAACTCTGCCAGGGAGCTATCTTGGTATAATGAAAAGTCAAAGTGATTGAGAAACCCTTGATTCGTACCAAGTTCAGCGGAAATAAACCGGTTGGATACATCTCTAAGAGCACACACTTGTACAGGAAAATAAATTACGTAAAAAGCGTTTTTGAATACTGCACAAAAAAAAATAAAATAAAAAAAATAAAAAAAATAATTATGCTACATTTTACGCAAAGAGTGTGTGAAACTGTTCTTGGAAAATGTTTTCTTGTTTGATTATTTGTGGTGGAATGAGTTGTATGCCTATATTATAGGTAACAAGGTGGAGAAATGGTGCTGGGTCCACACCAATTTGCGGGGAAAACAAAGCCAAGAAATTCCAAAAATTAAAATTAGAGTCAAAATTAAATTTTTTGAACTCTACACTCTCCCCCCCCCCTCAGTTTCGTACTGGTTCATTAGAGTTCAAAAAATGTAATTTTGACTCTAATTTTAATTTTTGGAATTTCTTGGCTTTGTTTTCCCCGCGAAATAGTGTGGACCCAGCACCATTTCTCCACCTTGTTACATACAGTTCAGGCCACTTCTTAGTGTTTCATTTTTCCTTTATTATAGGATTGCATACTTCTCTGATTGCATTTTGATTCGAGTTGTTTAAGATACTTCACGAAACCTGACTGCATTCCTCTCTTTGTCCATCTAGGTTGATTTGCGGGCTGATATATTGGTCCCTGGCTTCACGAGTAGAAAACTAGGTCAAATACCCTGTGAAGATGTGATGGTACGATTCCCTATCCCCGAGTGCTGGATATACTTGTTCCGAGTCGAAAAACATTTCCGCTACGGCTCAGTGAAATCAGCTCACCGAAGGTAATGATAAATCTGCACTGAAAAAAAAGTAGCTTGGATCAAGCATGATGATTCTTGAATTTGCCGCCAAGAATTTTTTTGGCGCGTATACGTAGTATACCGCCTTTGCGATCGTTTCGACCCCCCCCCCCCCACAATAACCGAGTCCCCTAGTTCCTTACCGAAAAGTGACTACCGCGAACTTCTGAGATTTTCCAAAGCGTGTAAAAAGTTTACTAATCCGTCAATAATAATGATTAAAATTTGTTTCTCATTCTGGGGCTCGCTAGTTTATGTGTAATGAATACCAAGAGTCTACGTTTCTTGGTTTTTTTTAAAAAAACCTTAGAATGGGGCGCGCTGATTTAAAATATGCATATATAAGCGGAAGCAAGCGAACTGATTCGAGGATGGCTGACCAGTTCGGCACTCCTTGAATGAGAATTTCACTCACTCCGTTTTGTTCACAACGTTGCTTTGACATATCTCCACAACACTGTTATCCTTTTCAAAAGTTGGTACTCCTTGCTCTGATAGCCGGGGCCACCAGGATAGTGGTAAGTGCAATCTGTGATGAGCCTCGAGACTCATTAGACCATTTGCTAAACGTGGCTCATACAGGAGTCCACTAAGCCCTCTCGTCCCCACGCTCCTGATCACTGCGTCGGCGTCACGAAGAACAATGGGCCTTGGGTCCCAACGCGGCCGATACCCGTACCCCAATTACTCACGCTTCATTAACCATTTCACCGTCACGCTAGGATTCATCCAATTTTCAAAAAAAATTGTTTCGCATGTATTTAGCAATTTTTTCCTTACTCTCCGTTAAAACACAAATAAAAAGAGACCTCATTCATAAAAATCGGCCGAATAGAAGAGAAGTTACAGTAATCGAAATCCGAAGAAATCAACAAAACCTCGACTCCTCGATACGAAAAATAAAATGAAGGGGAAAAAAAGAAAGTATAAATTACAATTAAATATAATTGACCTCAAAATTTGACAAACAATTCATTTATATACCTAACGCTGAAAAAACTGGGAGAAATTACAAAAAATTTGCCTCTTGCAAGGGGCTTCTTTGTAAGAATTTTGACCTGAAGACAACGGTCGAATAACAGCAGTACTCCATACAATACACGGTGTGCCTGAACGAGTTAAACATTTTTCATACGTCCAAATCGAAAAATCTTTATATTTTTAACTACAATGTTTCTTGAATCGTTTAAGCAAAAAAAAAAAAAAAAAAAATTCCGTCGAGATTCTGGAACGCAAAGGCGCTTTAAAAGTATTCTGGGGCTATAATAGCTAAATCACCGGTAGTAAATTCGTTATATTATTAAAAAGAAATTGACTCCATAGTTTAATTCCTTAGTTTCTTGAATACGATTATTTTAAGCACTTAAACATTTATACCACCAATTTTAGCCATGGGGTGATTTCCTGAGAGCCGATAATATCACGAATTTCTCATAGAACCCCTCAACAGTGGCTTGCTTTTTTGGCAGCCGATTCGGCCATCGAACCGGAGTTTAAATGGAAGCTGATAATAACCCAAAGCTCTGAGAAAAATTTTGAGATGAGTATAAGAACGGTTTGTTGTAAGTAGCGAGGAGAGGCGGGCAAAGCGGCTAAAATCCTATCTAATTTTTACAGTTTTTCTGTTGAATTAATGTTGCCGCGGGCTTCTGACTGTCCACACATAGTTCTGTTCAGCATATCGATACATAAGTATTTACATTTTACATACGTAGAATCTAATTTTCACGTCGGGGAGTTGACATATTTTGATTTTTTCGATTTTATACGGAAAATTGATGGTTTTTCGGGATTGAAATTATTATTGTTTCATGAAAAATAAATGCACCCAAAATGACTATAGCATATTGATTCTTACACATTTGCACTCACAAAATTGGTTGGTAAATTCAACGAGTGGGTGCATCGACCTGGTATATCAAGTTTCTGCAATTTTTTACGGCAAATCAGTAGATTTTCGGGATGTAGATTGCTTACTTTCAATTCATGAATGAATAAAGCAACGACATGGTTGAACTTCTTTGCATGGAAAGACGTTTAAAATAACAAAATCAAGACGTATTTAATGCAATTGCATTTATATCGAGTCAATTTCTTTTCAATAATATAACGGGATTTTTACTACCGGTGATTTGGGTATTTTAGCCCCAAAATACCTTTAAATCGACTTTATCTTCTAGGAGTTCGACAGAATTTTTCCTTTCTTCGCTTAAATTATTCCGTAGCACTTTTCTTCAAGAATCTGATAAGATTTTGCTTGAGGCAGATCAAAAAACTTAAATTCGATCGAATAGCTTTCTACTTTCACAATACACGGTCTCGTCAAGGTGCGTCTTTGACCTCGCAGTGTTGGATCGTGAATTCTCTTTTTATGCTGTTTGCCTATTTTGAAATCTCTGTAAATGAAAACTAAAGGGGTTGATATGTGCGAGTTAATGACGCGCCTTATCAACACATTGTGTTGGAGTTCACTGCTTGTTTTATCTTGCTTTATTAAAGTGACCTTTTTTAGATACAAGAAAAATGATATTCGGGTTAAGCAAAAAAGTAGCTTATATTAACCAGAAGAATTCTTGATTTAAGAAGAAATACTTTTTTTTTTTTTTCAGGGTGAGGTTTTCTTTTGTCGTCGAGATTCTTAGAGAAGCAATGTTAATGTTATAAGTTCTTTGGTACATACATGATTTTCGAGCCCGGTGAAAAGTAGCTTAACTATCTGGTTTTTAAAAAAATATCCGTTCTAAATTGTCGTGAGAGTAAAAGGTGAAGATGGTGTGACATCTGTGGCTTGTACGACTTGAAGGCTTCAACTAAAATTATAGAGGCTGTGGGCCTCAAAAATATCCTCATTCAAAATTTTCTAAGCTTTTTAGTGAATCAACTAATACGCGGTGGCTTGGCTTCTAAGGTTCACGCAAGTCCTCATTTTTGTGATGCGCAGAATACAAGAACAACTTAAAATTGCATTTTCGGCACACGGAAAAAGTAGATTGCAGATTTAACAATTCAATTGCTAAAAAAAGTGAATGCAATGTTTCAATGTAGATTTTACAACAAGAAAATGCTACTTTAACCACCCTCATGGTGAAATTTTCTTACAATAGAGGTTAAAACAGCATTTTTTTCTTGAAGAATCTTCGTTGAAACACTGCAGTCACTTTTTTTTAGTAATTTAATTATTAAATCAGCAATTTTTTCCATGCAGCCAAAATTCTGTGATAAATCGTGATTACTGACTCAATCATGCTAGATTGACTTCTAACGTAGCTATGAGGATTTAGGTTTCATTAAGTCTTAAATGACAAAGAATCTTTTTATACGCCGCATGTGGCCCTTGAGGCACCTCCACAAATATGACAAACGGAAATAAAGCAGTGTATACATATAGAAATATAGGATGTGCAAGGACGCGTGTTAATGACGGCCCAGTGCGACAACTATTTTTTCCTGATGGCTCGCATCCATACATAGTGTTCAAACATTCCAAAATCATGAGTTAAAAAATACTGACTCCGCGAGTTCGAATATTAGAGCCAAGCGCAGCGCGGCCGGCGCAAATGCGTACTAGCGCCTACAAGACTGCATGGATACTTCACACATTGCGTGTACGCACCGTGACGGGCGTGCAATGCGTGAAGTATCCTCCGCGCTGTACGCGCAGTGCATGAAGTATCCATGCAGTCTTGTAGGCGCTAGTAAGCGTTCCGTGCTAACCGCACCGTGGTATGCCCTAGTATTCGAACTCCGTGTCCGTGTCGCTTCTGCAAAATTGAAGGCGTATGGCGCGAGGCAAGAACTCGCAATATTGCACTCTACGCGGCACCAATCAGTTGTCACTATGTAGATTTGGGAGAAAATTAAAAAACGAGGCCCAAATAAGTCTCCCCTATATTCGGCTGTGCTGACACTCGATTTTTTCTTCTTTTTTTTGAATTTGCCGTCTTATTATTTTTTGTGGTGTATTTGAATATCTATATATTTGAACCTCGTACGTACTAGCCTTATACAACCCGCGTATCACGAATTTTAGGAATTCTCGGTTTAATTTGACCAGGCTTGGACATTTAAGGGCTGAATATTCTTCGGACATGCAAAATTCTATCAGCAAATTGTAATTTTTAGTTTGACTGAACTTACAAAAGCTATACCTCAAAAACATAAGAAAGGATCTTAAATGAGTCAAAAATTTTGTAATTGTACAAATCCATAACGACGGCAAATTACAGTAGAAAAAAAATTGAATTCCATGTCAAAATACAGTTCCCGGACGATACAGGTTTTTCTTTGTTGCGATTTAATAGAAAATTAACCTGACATGGTGTGTGAAGTACTGCATTTCGTTGAAAATGTGTTAGATAATGATGACTATCACTGTTGTAACTGCCTACTTTCAAAAACACTTATAATAATAATTACTTTTGTTTTTATTTTACGTCGAGGACGGGTAAAGTAAAAGGTATCGAGAGGTTCCTGGGAGCAGTTGACAATCTAGAGCCGCAACTAATGGAGGTGACCTCGGGTCAAGCAAAATATGAGCATCAGCACAGGTCAATAGTCTGGCGGATGCCCCGATTGCCCAAGGAGGGTCAAGGTACGTTTTAGCTGTTATCAATTTAATTTCCTGCAACTAAGGGTTACCAAAAACCAAACCACAAAATTCTCCTTAAAAATTAGATGATACTCTCACGTTTCAAGCAATGTGCTCCGACTGTAATATCGTGTCTTGTCATTGAGTTTAACACAAGAGTGAGTTCGGAGAAATCGTACTTTTTTTTGCTTCGCTAGAATTCACCCATCAAAATGCGAGTCGTTGACGCAAATCCATCATTTTTAATTTATATTTCCCGGTTGTTTTGCTTTAGGAGCTTACACGACGCATAATTTCGTTTGCAAGATGAATCTGACGTCGTACGATCAGATCCCCGAGGAGCTGAGCAAATACTGCTACGTGGAGTTCACGATGCCCACCACCCAAGTATCGCACACGACGGTTCGCTCCGTATCGATCCACGACTCGGACAGCGATAATCCTCCGGAAAAGTACGTGCGGCATTTGGCACGCCACGAATACAGGTATGCTTCGATAATTATTTCGAATGTTTTAGCATGTAAAAAAATGCGTTGTGAAACCGAACAACTCCCGAGGGAAATTAGACGGAGGCTGCTGAGTGACAAAATGAGTGTTGTCTTGAGCGTACAGCGGTGTCTTAGTAACTATGGTCATTAATACCTCTATAGTTAGGTTAAAGGATTGATTTAAAAAAAAAAAAAAAAGAAATGCATTTGGAAGGTAGTAGTGAAGGACAATGAACGTAATATTTAGAGGATTGGAGGAAAAAAAGAAAAACGGAGAATAATAATGGAGTACTCAATAGTAGGGGAAAATTATATCACTGAATCTCCAAGGAGAAGATGAAGAAATGAAGACGGGAATAGAAGAAAAAGAAGAGGGAGATAGGAAAAAACAGAGGAGGAGAATGGAAAAGAGACAGAAGCGGAAAGACATTCCTTTTTAATCCTTTTTCTCCAAATTCTCCTTCTTATTCCTCTTTCATTCCTCTTTTTGCTTTATTTCTTTGTCTTATCCGTTCGTTTTTTTCTTCCTTTTCCTCTTTCTCAAATCAAAGATCTTTGCTGCTGAGGAACTATATACGGTCTTGTTGGGGCTATCGAGTCGAAAATAATCAAATCTGTCAGACCAGGGGTTCTCCTTCCCCCGCACAAAAAACTGGATTCCGAACAAGAACTGGACGAAATTTTGCAATTGGGAACTATAAATTCCGGCCCGGTTCAAAAATAACGTATGTGTCATTAGTTTCCCTATGCACATAAGTGTTTTTTCAGATGAGCCAGAATTTATAGCTCCAAATTGCAAAATGCAGTCCAACTATAAACACGTTCTCCTCCCAGCCGTTGAGACCGTGATCGTACCATCATTTAGGAGCTACTATTTTTGCCTGATCGCTCAGATGAAGGCGAAGAATGTTTCATCACTTTTTTGTCACCGGTGGTGGAGATGAAAAATAAAATTCAAATAAAATATTTCCTGTTAGAATCATAGACAGGAAGAGCGAGAGTCAATGGCATTGCAATGTTTCAAAGTTCACCCCTACACTTCATTTTTTTAAATTCGCGTATGTTTGACAGCGACAACTCCAGAATTTTTTATCCAATCATAAGATAAAAGAAAAGAAAATCGCTAAATATTGCAAAAGAAAGTTTGCTGAAGTTTTCAATCGAGTGTGTTGTTCATAAATGAAACTTTGCGACGCGACACTGCGATCCGAATTCCTCTGACTCACTTGTCTCCAATAAAATAAAACCACTCATATTTTTTACATATCACTCATACAAACTACCATTTAACATAAGGCTGCGAATTTGCTTCGGGTATAGGATAAGTCGTCTTAAAAAATACTTCCGCGGTGAACGTTTTTCGAGAATAATAGGATGCATTTTAATTTTGTCTCAGGGTTGGCATTGAATTCACTCAAGCTGAGGGCCCGAATGAGTACATCGCTGCAACAAGGAAAACACAACCGGCGACGATTCAAGAACAACCCGCTGCCCCTCCACCCGCACCTGATTCAGACAGCGACTCTTCAGGCTAAGCCGCGGTGCCGTGCTTTTCAAATAAAACCTTCGAAATTAAAGTTGTATTTAATAAAAAATTGTGTTTACTCTATTCCTATGGATCTCAAATAGATGACAGTAAGAAAAAATTATCTTCATGGGAGTACACTCTAATTGAAGTAAGTCAGTTTCCTTGAATAAACCGTCTCGAGAAAATCAGGCCTTGTTTTTAAAATCTGGGACATGTTTTGAAAACTTGAGCAGTATTTTCTCATAATGCTTTTCGGTTATAATATGATACTATTGGTGTCATGGTGATATCAGCTTACAAACAGTACGTGGGCATAATGTAACTTGGGTTTTCAGTTTAATTTAAAATATTTGCCTGAAAGCTGTAAAATCTACTTAATGAAGGAAATTGATAAGTTGCCTCTGTTCTCTCCCGAAATTTGGGGGAAAAAATTATTTAAATTTTTTAAAAAAAAACATGAATGGACGGTGAATACGTTAAAATGAGTTGAAAGACCGCGCGTTACTTTCTAATTTTGTTATTCTTGTACTGTATGCCCTGTTTATTTTACTGATTCTGAAGAAACATAGGAGGTATTATTCCAGGTGTCCTTAAATCGGTCAACATATATGTTTTTTCTGCAAACATTTTAAATCAAAACTGAAATTAATGGGAGCCTATTCCCGGTTTTAAAATCGGAATAATTCCAAAGATAATATTACATCATGCATAAGGGATACGTATAGAAACAAAGCGAAAAGAAAAATAATTATTTGAATAAAATTTTGATTACTGTTTCAGAGAACAGGTGCTTGGAGAGCACAGAATTAATGTAATTACTCTCAGTGTCATCTGCTTGATACTCTACTAAAATAACCATAGGTGAACTTGGCTTTGTCAATCATTTGAAGACAAATCAGGGCTCTCCATGAAAATAACTCCAGGTAGATAAAAAGTGAATGTATCGAAAACGTAAATATAATTTAGAGGTTGTGCGATCTTTGGATCAAAATATACTGCAATTTCAACAACTTGGATCTAATATACGTAATAGAATTGGGAGCCCTTGTAATTTAATAGATTCGTACTTTTTGCTGATTTCTCTCTCTTTTTTAACTGTAAAAAGCACTAGTTTAGTGAATGCACTGAAAATTGTTTTTGATATACACTCAGTTATCTGTGAGATTTATTTTTGTTCAAGACATTTTTCTAATACATTTGGTATCAGTGCAATATGTTCTCTTGGAATTTGCCCTTCGTGAATTCTTTGTGTGAGCGTTTCAACCGAATGGAAACAAAAAGTATTTTTAGTTAATTTAGAGATATATTAATACTTGTTGATAATACTTATTTTAAAAGGTATTTTTGCATATCATGAATAAAAAGCGGCTTGTGTACTTAAATAGGGTATCGCTGAGTTTATTCAAATGTTAGATTTAGGCCAATGCTGTAATTTTCATCAATTTTCTTTTCTGACCTTCACGAGACTCAAATGAAATCATAAATACTACATTTAATTGTAAGATATTGTATCTGTTAGCATTAATCAGTATCAATCTGTTTCTTGTATGGCTTATTTTATTTTTCCTCCTAAATATAATCAATTTCGTCTGAAAACATATTCCAGCAGTTGTATGAGTTTTGCCTGGAAAAATTCTCAAAACTTCCCCTAAATAAATAGACGAAGGCAGCTTAAAAGACACTAGGGTACCTAATGCTAATTGCTAAATTGCATTAAACCTTTTTTCTAAACTTCCAAAGGCCTTGAGGTGTTTTTTATAAATTCGACCTGCTTGGAAAACTGGCTTATAATTTCTCTGACAATGTCACTAGTACTGCGTATAGAATATTGAAAAAAGCCGGCTGTTGTGTATGAGATTGTGGCAATATAGCTCATCATTTCTGAAACTTCATCCTGAAAAGTATTTAAAAAATAGGTACTTTTCATCAATGGTCAGCAACTGATAAGAACGGTACCTTCATGGCAAATTACTTTTAATTTCTCTCCATTGATAATTGATTGTCTAAGCAAAATAAATACTTTTATTACTCTTGTTTTAGGTTATAAAGTAACGACAATACTATTTTTAGAACATACCTACTCTTAGAGCCTATGCACTAACATTCAAAGATCATCCTCTCCCTGCTAATCCCTTGAATTGACCAACAATTACACAATGCCTACAAATGTTTTTCCCCCTTGACCGCTGCATTTGACTGATTATGTGAAAAAAATCATCGGCTTTCCCCCAATGTCAGCCTGTTTTTGTTTTTTTCTTAAATTTAAGATTGTGTTTTTACGCGGTATGAATGTCTTTTCGTTTTGAAAAAAAAAAACCAATGGGAGAGTTGGGTTGTCTATTTCAACAGTTTTTGCTCGGTTTTAGAGGAACCCATTATAAGAGAGACAATTTTTGGATTTTGGATTTATGGCCTGGAGCGTTCTCTCTTTTGTCGTAGTTCACTTGACACTTAAAAATAACTCTTCTCGTGCTTTCGGATAAAAAAGTACTTTCTCCGCTGTTAAGATTTTACTGATAGTTTATGATTGTTAAAGATATTTTTTGATAATTTTTGTTGTGAATTTCTATTTGCTTGTTGATTCGATTTGTTTGATGCGATGTCTCTTCATGTTTCATTCCAGCTAATTTGGTAGTTTGTGTGTTTCGTCTTTCTATTCTGAAAAGATCTGGTGTACATCTTAACTTCCATAGTTTTCCAATCAAAATGTTTGTTTTAGCGATTTAAAACACATCAGCACAAAGACGGAATCCCTGATTATTACGGTTGAGCGGCATGGTAGTCTTTATGCTAGAGGATACAGTAACAACTAACGTTCAAATAGTAACCATCCAAAATTGTATGGTCCCAGTTATGAAAGCAATGAGTTAATGTTGTGTAAACTATTTTACAAGTACTTATTAAATCACCTGACAACAGTTTTTTCTGTAACTTTTTAAGACTCATTTTTTATTCATAGGCAACAGAATAAGAAACTAGCTGCTACAATTCTTTTGATATTCTGAAAGTACTTAAATTTCTGCCTCATATTCTGTCGCTATGATAATCCCAAAAAATATTTAGCGATTAGAAGCACCTTCTAAATGGTATAATGCAAGTTTACCACTTCCTCAGTCTATATTTGAGCCTTACCTCTAAGTTAATAGAATGTAAGAGGTAAAAATATATTGGAAATCTACCCTAAATTAACACCATTCCTTGAATCTTTTGAATGTTTAGTTACCGTATTTGTTTTGTTTTTTGTTCTTTCATTTAATTTTTATAATTTTTTCCATTTTTCTTACTCCTCGTTTTGAGCGAGGAGTATCGAGTGCGTCTAGTCATTGATCTCGCACAGTTGCCAATTCGATTTAAAAATTATTAAAATTATTACTCTTTTGTAGCTAAATTTTAATAGTTTTTTCATCGAACAACTATGCCTTATATTTAAGCTCCCATAGATAAGTTAAGATATATTTTAATTAAAATAATTGTACATTAGTTGTAATCTTACCATTTTTATCGTAATGTCATAAATAGAGGTGATAATTATAGTCATTGTCCGATCGATTATTTTGTTGTTGTTTCATGTACTTAGTACAATATTAATGTAGCCATGTTATCTAACAAATAAATAACATTATGATAATTGTTTTCTTTATTTATTTCTAGAATCTTGGACACTTAATGAAGGAGGAAAGTGACTGATTAGGTTTCTTCATACTTAGTTTGATGGAGAACGGTTTGTCATATTTTACCTTGTGTACCTGTCGGAAAGTTTTCTTGGAAAATAATTTCTAGTTAATAAAAAAAAAAGAATATTTTATCGAAATAAATTTGCCAACGTTCATATGTAATAGGTATATGTAATATATTATGTTTTTCTATGTTTCTATGTTCTTCTTAGCTCGGTAAAATACGTATTGATTTTTGGTCTTATTTTTAAGCGAATTCTGCTTCCTCCCGCCTTTTAGACCATCTCAAACGTAACATGATGTCAAATGAAGCAAAAATGGAATAAGGGAAAAAGTCATCAATGATGATTTAGGCCTGCATCTACTATGGATCCTTCGAGCAAAAAAAGGCAAAATATCACAATTGAATGAAAGGTTAACTTCTGGAATCACAATTTATTTCGGAAAATATTTGAAGAAATAAACCACAAATGAGTAAAAAATCAAATAGCCTACGAAGTTATGAATATGCAATTTGCATTACCCAAGAGTTAATACATTTGCTTCCGAGCGCCGCGCCGTGTTGAAGCATTCGAAAAGCATTATCATTAGAGGTATAATGTTTCATATTTTATAGAGCACTGAATCATTTTGAGATGAATGGTCATTGAAGGGATTAATATAGTTTAAACAAGGCAAAAATGGGCCAAAATGTTATCATAATATCTCGCCGACCTTCTCAAAGCATCCATCTCAACAAAAATGAGTCCATCAATCAGACTTTCTATCAAAAAGAACAAAATTGGCTTTATGCCTACGGAGCATTCAGAGGTAATGCCTGAGCTAATATGTTCAGATACATCGATGACAACATGCGAAAACGTATGTTTCCATTACAACGCTTTTTTCAAAATATCCAATGCAAAAAAAAGCAAGGAAAAAAAACTCAAACTGTCTCCTTGAGGCTCTCTAAGAATATTTCTGAATGCGTGAATAAGTTTATGGACAATTTAGGGAAATTTTTTGATAAGTTTCCTTTAAAAAAATAAAATAGACACGGAGCGTAATCGAAGACATATTTTTCGATAAGAGTCATCGATTTTTTTTCCTAATAGGAGAAAATGGTACCAAATTTTCGCTGACAAACACTGGGAAAAAACACATTGGATCTAGAGTCCAGACTCTTGAAAACATTGACAAGAAAAATTATTTTGATTCAATCGGATTTTTGCTTGAATCAAAACCAAATTCGCCTAAATTAAGAGGATTGGTTCTTAATTTAAGCTAGGTTCTGATTGAATCAAGAGTACTTTTTCTTGTCGATGTTTTTAAGAGTCTGGACTCTAGATCCAATGTGTTTTTTTTCCAGTGAAGTATTAATTTCCAAAATTATTTATAAAGTTTATGCCTCTAAATTTTCAAAAACAGTAGATTATATCGGCATACAACCCCGTTAAAGAAAATACATTCAAATATTATAAGGAAAAAATCCAACGTCTATCGGGAGAAATGTGGCAATATCCGAATGTTCATACGGCGGTTCTCCGCATCACGGCAGTACATCATCTCACCACGAGCCGCGTATGTGCCACACGAGAGTACACGCGCATTCCGTCATCCCTTGCGCGGTGGGGTTCACGTTCACCCCCCAGGACCCGAGTCTCCGACGTTACTGCTGCAAGTTTCCTGGTGCTACCTTAGATTCCGTCCCGTCCGCATCCACCCCTGAAATGAACCTCCCTCTGGCGGAAGGACCCACAGTTTCTCGGCCACCGTACACCCTCAGCCTGACTGCGCGCGCCCCCGACCATCGATTTTATCACACCAACGATACCTACCGATCGCGGGGCAAAGTTGTCCTATTGAGTCCTCTGGCTTTTACGCTATGTTGTTATATATTTATATTTATGGTCCACTTCTCGATCACCTCTTCTCATTAGTGTTTTTTTGACTCGTGTTTGTTCGTCGCGCAAGTGTTAGGGTTTCAAGTGACTGATGAACACGTTCGACCGCCTATTTTCTGTAAGTCATCGCCCCTTTTCATTTTGCCACGATCGTTTTTATTATTTACTCGCACTCTGCTCGCCTTAAGGTGATACGTGCTTTGCTCGTGAATTATAGCTGGGAGTCCGGAAAGTTCAATCGGATGAGCTGCTTCCGAGCGAACCTCTCATGAATTTTCAATCTCGGTTTTTTTTTTTTTTTTTTTTTTTTTTTTTTTTTTTTTTAGAAAAAATTTAAACATGCAGTTTTACATTTCCGAAGAAGTAGAAAAATCAGGTAGGCGACGTCTTAAATTTGTTGTAAGACTACTACTGGTGACTTTCCTTCGAGAAATTTCACTGAAAGAGGGGGATCTCGAACGGATATTATATTCATTTACGGTCTCCAAAAGTTTTAGGTGTGAAAAAAAAAATCATTCCAGTTATTTGGTTTTACACGCTTTAAAAATAAAAAAAATTAAAAATGAATATTCGTGGGCATTTAAAAATTTTGATTTGAATCTGCTGCGAGTTTTTTTCTAGAGATTTGAAATGCTCCCTCGCCCTTTATGAAGCTTTTCAGAAAATGTTCCATTGAAGAGTTGGTAGGTTGTGTAGAAATATTGAAAAAAAAACGAGGTCGTGAGGGTTTTAAAACGTCACAAACATTGTTCAATGCAAGTTTTGATAAATTAAAAAGTTAGGCTATCTAAGTCTTGACACATTTGATTTACAAAAATGATGCTATAGCGATAGGCACGTATGGACCATCTAATATCACAGTTGAAATTACGGATATTTAGGATACTCTGAAGATATCAGGTGATTTTCTTGCTTCTGCTGCCAATAATCCATCATTTCCATCACAAAATTGTGAATATTTCAAAAAATTTCCAAGTTAACGAGTATGTAAAATGTTACTACTCGTATTTGTAGTATCGAAGGGCTTGAGAATAATTAATAGGCTGGCGATTACCATTGCTCGATTCTGTCCTTCCGAATATTAAGCCATCAAAATCTTGACATGTTTGTAATATTAAAATTTCTGGTAGCTCACTCGATATAAAGAGTTCTCCATAAGAAACATTACTGGAATTTTATACTCTTTCTTCTGAAAATGTCTGAAGACCAAATCGAAGTTTGTTAACTGGAAATTCTAAATGATCCGAAGTTTTTTTTAGCATATAATTTCAAAATTTTTGTGGGGATAAAATCTGTCAAGTAGCTCCAAGGATTTTCCATTGTAATTCTACTGTTGTTTACAGAATTGCATAATTAATTGGTTATTTAGCATGCCTCATCTCAATATATTTAATTAGCTGTTTACTTTTCGTGAGGGGAGACGGTCGGAAGGGATAAACAAGTATTGGCTCTCCTGATGATCATATCCTGTGCTGTCTCATCGCACAAATAGGATTAATTTTGCATAGTTTTTTTTTAATTACCTACGAAAACGGATCTGAATATTGTTTTAATTACTTGCTTTCGTTGTTTACGTGATAGGCAGATAGGTTCATCATTGTTCTTTAATATTATCAATGAAACTGACTTTGATACCTAACAAATCAAATTATAATAAAATACCCAATTTAATAAAATGCCAATATAAATACCAATTTAATAAAATACCCATTTAATTAAATACCCAAGTTTTATTAAGGTAAATAAGTTAAGAATCTAAAATGGGGTTTATGTTTTTAAACAACTTTCACAACGAAGTTTAGCGATGGATTATTCGCTTACAGCCTCTTTCGGGCAATAAAAAAAGGTCAAGCTCCAAACATCCATAGGAAAAGGTGAAAATACGTGTGCCTCAATAATAGTTCAAGGCCCGGATTGAACATTTTGACGATCCATTTCATTGCTACTAAAAACTCTCGTAACCCAGCATTAAACTGCTAAAGTTCATCGTGCCTATACCATATACAATTTATGATGTGTATCGAACTTCTCGAGGAATTTCAAAGCAACTGCTCTCATGGAACTTTCTAACATTGTTTCAGCCGATTGGTGGATAACTCTCCTGTGGAATTTGAAGGAAAAGTCCACCCGAGGCATTCTTGAAAACCTATCCCCAAAACGTTTCTTTTAATTTTGTGGAGATCATTATTTACGCTCAATGCTCAATGCCTGTATATACTGCCGTGCTACGGAAAAACGCCGTATGAGTCACCAAACGTTGCCAAGTTTCCTGCGATAAAAACCGAAACTACTGGGGAAATTGTGAATGTTATTTTCTCAAATTTTCAGAGAATTGTTTTCGCAATTTAATCTAAAATATCTGAAAATTTCAAGGAAAAATATGCGTGAATTTTCTCAAAAATACTGGTTTTATCAAGGGAAATTTGGCAACTCCCGAATGTTTATACGGCGTTTTTTCTCAGCACGGCAGTGTAAGACGGATAAGTGGTGAGCATTGACGGATCCAGCAAATTGGCAACACTGTCTTTTCTCCGTTTAAACCTATGGAAATATATCGATTCATGGAGGGGCCAGGTGCTCCAACCAGAATCGATTATTTACCATAGGTTTAAATGGAGGCAATCCGGTGTTGCCAAATTGCTTGATTCGCCTCTGGTGACGAGTAGGGTCATTAAAATATATTATGCAGAACTGTTTGTAAAATTCGCTTATTTAGGCAAAGGGATTGAAGTATGTGTCACGGTCACGTATGAAAGGTGGACGATCCTAAACTCGGCGCTACGTAACGAGCCTAACTTAAAACAGTAGTTTAATTTTTTCGGGGAGAAAGATTCGCGGAGAACGATTCTCTTTCAAAGAAATCCATAAAATGAGGTCGGATGTGGCATTTTGCGTAGCCTTCCGTAATTTGAGCACAGTCTTTGCTAACGTTCCGAGAGTGTAACGAGAGAAATGGGAAGAGAAAGAGGGAGGCAGCGGTACTTGAACCCCTTAAACATCCCCACCGCAGGTGTGAGGAATGCTGAACAAGGCGGTTACACGCTTCAGTCAATAGAAATGAGTTGGTGGTTAGCCGAGGCCGAGAGACGTCACGAATCTGTGTCATGCAGTATGTTCTCATCCAGGGGGAAAAACGCACGGATTTAAATATTAAGGCGGAGGTGTATCAGGGAAAAATGTTTTAGGGGTTATCACCTAAAATTGTGGTGCTACTCCAATTCGTTGGATGATATGGTCGACATATATTCAATAGACTGTGGAACTATCGCAGAATTTGGGTTAGTAACCTAATGTATTGGGGTACTACCACAAGTGTCAAACAACCGATTTAGGGTCAAAAGCATAGATTTTTACCTTCGATAACAAACGAATTTCAGCGCTCTTGAGATCATCGGGTTTAAATTTGAAATCATAATTTGCGTCATTAATAAGCTTACATGCAGTTGAAACGAAATGTTCCTAAGCCAGCAAAATATTGCAGCGTCGATAAACTTCGTCGACCCCTCCCCCCCATTTATGGTTCTCCAACTTTGGAGTTCCCTCAAAAAACAACGAAAAAGAATTTGCTTAAACATACACAAAAACAGTGGCTTTAGAGATATTTCTTGAAAGTTTACGAATTTCTTCACAGAGTTCTTTAACAACAGTTTCTGCTAGGAGTGGAAATTAGAGCTCTGCGTATCTTTCGATTTGAGCCATTGGCATATCTCGTGACGTCATCCCGACCTACCATCGACTCGGTCGTAACGAGTACACATCAGCTCGTAAGCAAACCTGATTTTGTGAGTTTCGAGTCCTTGAAACTTGCTCTTGGATGGTTCGTGGTGTCCGATCCCATCAATAAAAAGTGCTAACGATGCCGGAAAGTCCTTCAGGGACTCGACGCGCGGATCGAATTGGGTTAGGAAGGGCAGGCGAGGCTCGTTCGGTGCCCGCTCCAAAGTCGTAACAAATGAGGATGGAACCGGTAAGGCGAACCCTCTGGAAGAAGAGGGGGGAGGGGGGTTGATGCGGAGCACGTGAGTCAAGTACGTGAAAATCGAATCGAAAAAAGCACAATGCTTAAGCCGAGGGTCCCGGATCGATGGGGACGTAAAGAGTCGCTTTTGACTGCATTATTAGCAAGCACAATCAAAAGTGGGTTAGGCAAATGCTGCCGGGCTCCATCCGCTTCTATTTCCTGCTCTAATGGAGTTCCTGCCTCCCGCAAGGCCGGTGGATTTGCCGTTCGACCGCCTTGGCTCATGTAAAATTTCGCGAAGAACATGGCGGTGTTACTGTTTCTGTCTAAAGTCAGCTTCTTTGCTTTCTATCATTTCTCGAGGTTGAGATCGTAACCAGCATTGCATTTAATACGTTGGTTTTAGATTGTGATGTCGAATTGAACGTTTGCCAAGGCAATATTTTCAAACTATGTCTTGATCGAGAAATACTCAATATATATAGAAATATTAAGGAATCCCATAGTTTGGTGAATCAAAAAAGAAATTTAGAAACATTGCATATTTTTCATTACACCATGATGTGCTTTCACACTAAGCGCATCGCCCAACTAAATTAAGTTCGGATGAATTTGTATAATGTGTGGTTTTAGTTCAATGATGCAATCCTGGTTTAAGAAAAACAACTTTCTCAAAAATGGATTAGTTTGAGGCATTTTAAAAATTAGCAGAAACAACACTGTTAAATAATCCAAAAACCTTATTTTTATGTCACGCAAAGACTTCTTCACGTTTGTGTTTCACAATACGACACTCTCCATCATGATCGTTGTTACAGGCGTCTGTAAGTTGCTAAGTCCATATTTTTGTGGCAAGTGACAAGAGTAACAAGAGTCCTGCCCAAATGAAGATCATCGGAAAGACGCAACTCGTGATTTATGCAGAAATCGCCAGATTTCAGGCATGGTCCGAAAACGGCTCTTATCGGTGCCCTTTCTTTGACAACATTTTAACACTTAATACTACCAGTAAAAGCAAATACAGTAGACTCTGGATTATCCGGCTTCGTATTATCCGGACTCTGGATTATCCGAATCGATTTTGCAACCATGTAACTACGTACGCATTCCGATAAGTGAGCGGATCCGCGGAGAAGCGGTCGCGAGGCATATTGGCG